TTTTTTTTTTTTTTTTTGGTTTTCCATAGGAATGAGCTTACTCCAGCTGGTGGTACAATATCCGGAGGCGGTATCGCCTCTCTGATCCTCTAGTTTTAGTTAGATATTTGTCTGCTAATTAATGTATAATTAAATTGTCTATTTAGGAAGCACTGCATCGAGAACAGATGTTGGAGAACAAGCTGGCCACACTCCAGAGGCTGGTCTCCAGTACACAAGAGGCCTCCGAGTCTGGATGGCAGGTAAGGAAGGTTTATTGTTGTTGTTGTTGTTGTTGTTGTTTTTGTTGTTGTTGTTGTTCTTCTTCTTATTATTATTATGGCAACTATGACTCAGTGGTCAGCAGTTAATGGTTGATAAAACAGAACAAGTGTTTCCAAAGTGTCATTTTGTTATGTTTTATTCCTATATTTCAGGCCCTAATAGATGAAGATAGGTTGCTGTCCAGGTTAGAGTGCTTAGAAAACCAACTTCATATTTATGGCAAGGTAAGGTGGACTATATGTTTACTAGTTTTTCTGTTTTAAAAAAGTTTTCAATTTAAAGCGCTGTCAATCTTGAAGTGCTTATTTAGTTCTTCTTTTTAAAAGATGTTTCTTTTAATGTGAACACAGCTGAAATAAAATGAATGTGATGTACTGCATTAACAGCAAGGATGAAAAATCACAAACAAAAATTACACTTATAATGCTTATTTATGTTATTAAATCTACTCTCCAGTAGTTAAAAACTTTGCCAAAAGGTGGCAGCACATGATAGCAAGGTGAATATTCCTGTATAGATGGCAGCACAGGGATGGCTCTAGTTAATATCAGTGCAAAGATAATACAGTGTAATATTATATAATTTTCTAGAACCACACAGAAGAGTCTTTGCGCCAGGAGTTGGTGGCACTGCAGGAAGATAAGAGCGTCTACGAAACCACCGCTAAGGTACGAGAGAATGATAAATATTACATTGTATTTATGCATTTTGATAGCAATTTAGTGATTGTTACATCTTTTATTTGTGAGATGTCTTATTATTTTAATTCTTAGATTGGGGTGGCAATCTGATAACCTTGAACGAAATAGATAAATATATCCTATTAAATTAGTGCAGCTAATGGACTTTTTTATGATTTGCATACTCAGCATAAGATATTTCCTTAACTATATGTGTAAAAATTCCATTGAGTATGTGAATACATGCAATCCACACTTAAACATTTCTGTTTGGATAATATGAAACTTATGTGAAATAAAAGGCCAGAAGTTAAAAAAGGCAGGAGATAGTTATTTACCAGTCACTTGGATATATGTATTAGCTATTTGCAAGGAAGGTGAGAATATATATATAATATCACTTAGAATAGTTCCTAATGTCTCTGAATGCTATGAGGTAGACTGGATTTTGCCTGTAGCATATAGACAGCCTTCTTCAGCATACCTGTTGTACAGTGATATATATAATGCAAAGTTGATACTATGAAAACATTGAAGAGTATCGTATTTTAGGTTGAATGTGTCTTTAAGGGAGAAAATTTCTAGGAAATTGCAAATTGGAGCTGAAAGCTAGATTCACACTGTGGAGAAAAAGTATTGACCCTAGTTGCTTTTTGTTATGAATTTAATGCAAGTATGATTTTGATGCATAAAACAATAAACTCTTAAAAATGAATTATATAAAAATTATATATATATATATGTGCAAATTTAATGTTGGTTTTTGCCAGGAAATATTTTTTTTCTGATGAGCCAAAAAAAAAGTAAATAAATAGATAAACACAATAGCTCTCAAATTTCAAAATTCCATTCAGTCACGAGAACTATTTGACTGCATAAATAGTCAAATCAAAAGGTCTCTTTGTGCACTAGTGCCTGTGACATGGTAACACAATTTTGTTTTTGTTGGCACCACAAGGAACTAAAAAATTTCTGCTCACCCTGTATGTTATACGTATCATGTTTTAAAGTAAAGGCATTCTGTTTTCTTGAGAAATCTCAGATAGATGTGTTAATTTAGAAGTGTTAGACTGTCTTAGTTCTAACTAGGAGTCTATGGTAATTTGTTGTATTGATAGCAGTAGGTTTCATGAAATGACTTGTTTCTCTGCTTCTGCAACAAAGTAATTGCTGATTTTTAATGAACTGGATAGTGATTAATGTGGATAATGGAATCAAAGGTGATTCTTTGGTTTTATGCTTGTGTAAATCTTAAATCTTGGAAATTGATAGGGTTAAATCTTTAAATAATGTTTGAAAGGAAATGATAACTGCATGAGAACAGTACATATGTAGCCATGGCAACCTAATTTACTTACTGTCATGATTTTAATTTCCTTTATTAATATTTCTCCAAATTTCCTTTGCAGGAATCTCTTAGGAAAGTATTGGAAGAAAAACTTGAAGCTGTGCGAAAGCTGTCAGATTTAGAGGTAAGTGAGATTTTTAGGTTCTAAAAATACATTTGATTTTGATATTGTGCTAATGAAAACTAATCTCATTCAACACCAGTAAAGGAAATGTCTTTGGGTATTTCCAGCATTCGTATAGGAATATAAAGAATGGATATAATTAGTGTCTTTGTGTGTTTCTAACATTCATATGTCATTAACTAATATGTAGAAAAATTATAAAGAGTGTCTCTGTGTATTTCCAGCGATCATATAGCAATACAGAAGATGAGTGTAGCCACCTCCGGCAGTTGTGTGAGGGAGCTCAGACAGAGCTACAGGAGCTGGCAGAGAAACATGAGACCCAGCTCAAGGCTGTAGCTGAAGCCGAGCAAAAATTACAGGTACGCTGAATGTTTGTTTTAAAAGGAAAACAAAAATTTACATTATGATTATTTTTGCTTCACAAATAGTATTTTGTTTTTATTCTGAAAAAACATTAATTTAATAGAAGTTTGAAAAGGGGTTAAAGTATGTTTTTGTAAACAAGTTAAATTGATCTGTTTTGGTAAAAATGAAGCACTAGAAGGGGGTATTTAAAATTTTGTGTATAATTGCCTTATTTTGAATTGTTCACATTTTCAATTAAAAGTTTCTGATTTTTTCAGGAGGCTGAGCTTACGCACAGTGAAGAGTTAGAAAAAGTTAGACAAGAAAAGACAGACCTGGAAGGCAAACTTGAGGACATGATCAACCAAGAAAATACTCTGTCTGCCAAAGTGGAGTCATTACAGGCAGATAATGATTTCACAAAAGAGCAACTGACTGCCATGAAAGGTAACATAGATGAATAAAGACCTTTCTGAATTTTATATAATATTATATCTGATAGTAGTTCTGATATACATATTAATAAGTCACTATTTATGAATCATGTAAATATTTGAATGAGCCATTCAGTCATATAATATTTTTCAGTGGCAAAATTACGTTTTAACACCGATACAAAGAAGTCTTGATTTTAAAAGATTATTTGATAAATTTTTATTTTGATACTGGCAGTTGACTGGTTGGGTTAAAAAAAACATTTTAAAGTAAACTTGAAGAAAGGATTTTTTCCCATTTTTAACCTCTAAAAACAGGTGAAATTATATTTTTTTGTCTAATTATGTTATTCTTTTGAATATTTTTTAGCTCGCCTAGAGTCCCTTAAAGAGCAGAGCTCAGGGATAGACAAGGAAACTGACTCACAGAGTAAGTGTTATGAGAACAACATCCTGCAGCTCTACATGTGTACACTTGTAAAATAATTGCAACACACCTAATTAGTAAGGATGATAGTCTAACAGGCACATTGGTAATAATTTGGATGAAGACAAATTTTTTAAGTTGATATTTGATAATAAAATAAAATATATATATAATTATTGGCATATCGTTCTAGACGAAGGTTACAACATGTTTCCAATGCATGTGCATGGGTGCATGCATGCACACACACACACACACACACACACCTAAGTAGCAAACATTATACTACATTCTTTACCCTCTTACATTGATCTTCAAAGAAAAAAAATCAAATGCCAAGCTAGTGCATGCCTGTAATTCAAGACATTCAGCCAGTAGTGATTTATGTATTAATACCAGTGTCATGATTGCTGCTGTGTTATGTATGGATATCCTGTGTAAAACTCTTCCTCTTCTCTCACAGGTGTACAGGTGGACATCATATCTATAGACAAGTTAGACAACGAAAGTCAGGAGAACAGTAAAGAACTGGAAGACCTGAAAAGTAAGATTTTTGCATGGGTCTCTTTTTATTCTGCTGTAGGAGGCTTGTGTGCGTGCGTGTGTGCATGCATACGTGTGTGTGTGTGTGTGTGTGTGTGTGTGTGTGTGTAGGCATGATGTATTTACTTTAAAATTTAAATTATATGTGGCATAGTATGGGCATGTTTGTGTACAGTTGCGATTTTTTAAATTTAGTTTATGATCATGAAGCAGTACTATTAATACTACAAGTCAATGCTGTATCTGCTTCTATGTACCAGTTGGCTGTTAACTTCTCTGTAATGTGGGTTAAACTTAGCAAATTGCAGAACATGTGTATATATGATATATAATAACATGCATGGCATGCCATAGAAAGCATAAAATTGATGAACAGAAATATGCCATACTGATAGATGCAATTAAAATTATATTAAATTAAAAAATGATATATGAAAAATTACTCCTTAATCACATTTAAATCTGACAACTTTTTGTAATATGAAATCACTGATTGAAACTATAGACTTTCTTCAATCTACATAGACCATTATGAAGATTGACTATCAAGTTACTCTTTCTTAAGAATTAATCTTGCACATCTTTAAATGTTACACCAAAATGTCTCAGTACATCACCCAAGTCACTATGGTGAAAATATGCACTCGGATTAACAGCATGATACTATACTGTAACATGCCTGTATAGCAGATGTAATATTTCTGTAACTAAATTCAATTCACCAAAATCTCACCAAGTGTATAAACCGACAGAAAGCAAGCAGTTTGAAGTATGTTCAAACACAGTAGACTACACATAGCTTGCACACTTTGGGACTGGAAAATTTGTGAAAGTCGCACAAAGATTCAAGTTCAGCAATGTTTATTTCCAATTAATACCAAAGAAAGATATCAGTTTTATAAGATTTGTAAGAGATGAAAGATAATTCTCATTATAAGGTGACAAGTTATGTTAAGTCTACTGTATTTCTGACTATACAGCTTGTTTAAGAGTTGTGCTTCTAGTTTTTAAAAAGCTATGGCCAGATTGATGAAATAAAATTGTAGAATATCTTACCGGCAAGCTCCAGAAAAAAATGTTTTTGCTGTTAGCAGATATTTCTATTGCAAGCCAGTTTAGAATCTTTTTGTGGCAGTTTCAGTTGGTTGCAATTGCTAGTTTCATTTGGTTTTGCAGTTTGTGCATTTTAAGTGTTTGTTTTATCTCCTGGTACTGATAACAGCTTGTAGTGACAGACAAGCAAACATTCTTCATAGTCAGTGAGTCTTTAAAAAAGCTGACTCTCTGCAATGCGGAATGTTTTATAATTTAATGATTAATATGTCTGTCTATTAATTAATTAATTAATTGAAAGTTTTATACATTTATTCATCTATTAACATATAATCATTTGAAGAGGGGGGAATTAAAGATGGAAAGAGACAAACAGTGGGAAGGCTGAGGGGGGGGAATGAGAGGTGTGTTTTATTGATGTCATTAACTAAATTTTAGCTGTTATTGTACCAGAAGAGGCCCAGCTTTTTGTTTGGGTGTGGCATTTGTTATCTTTTGCATGGTGTGTCATTACTTTCCAGCCTCTGCTGCTACAGTTACTGTTACTGCTGGTGTGAATGTTGTGGATACTGATAGTAGTGATAACAGTGACAACTCTGAGTCAGAGACAAACGGGGATTTTAATAAGGATGATGTCACAGACGGTGACAGTGCCGAGGTGGCTTTTGTAAAAGGTAAGGACAGGGAAAAAATGACTACTGAATCGGCTCAGGAAACATGTCATGCAGGTACATTGGCCAAATATTGAGTTTGTGCCCATGCATATTAACCTGTAACAAAATTGGTTTGGTGATGTCCTACAATCAGAAAATTGCCAAGGCTACAGTGATGTCTCGGACTGAACAGAACACAATTGCCTGAAAAACCTTATCTAGATTAAGGGTTAATTATCACTGGAGCTGGGTCGACACATTGTATGAATATGATTTCTAATAATAAATTATAATAAGCATGGCTTTACTTGATCATAGTGTTAGTGTGTGTGGGACAGCAAGGAGATTAGAATGGCTTCTTATGATTAAAAATTATAATCAGGCAGTCTTTAAATATGGTGTTCAGTGCGATAGGTCAACCCATCTCTAGTTGAAATCAAGTTGATCCAGGCCTAACTGAGCCACGGCTCAAATATAGTATGACCCACTTGAAAGCATGCCGCCTAATCTGTCTGATAAATATAGCATAATGGTAACATGATGAGGAATGGGTGTTCTGACATTTGTTTAAAATAGAGAGAAGAATTCATCAAAGTTTGTTACTTTGGTGGCAGGAATGGCACATAGATATTTTTTCCTCCTGCAGTGTGTTATGCACTTTGGTGATGTGTGGCTTCCTGTCAATCATTGCTTAAGAGGAGTGGTTTTAAGTTTTCATTGTGCTACTCTGACTTAACTCACAACATGTCGTCTTTTGTTCTTTGTTGTCTTGTGTAATAACTTCTGTGACAGTTGATAAAGGGTGAAACAATTCTTTATGATACATATTTTGTACTTTCCATGTTCTTTTTGATAATCTTAATTTTATGTTTATCTCTGATTTACAGGTAAATTAAGAGAAACACAAGAACAGATAGAGAATTACAAAAGTAAGTGATGGATTTATGTATTCAGTGTTCTGTGCTTGTTTGCTTTATAAATTCCTTTTTCAGTTAATTAAATCGTGACCAGTCATTGCATAAAATAAAAGTGAACTACAAAATACCTCATAACCAGCATTCCATTTTTAGATAAAATATAAGTGTGTGTGTTTATGTGAAGTGTTTACTTTTGTGACTTAGTAACAGTCCTCTGTAGTATAAGACTGAACTATTCTTTTCACAGAACGATTAGAAGATTCTGAGAATCGGTTACAGGAAAGTAAAGAAAAAGTGGATCAGTTGCAGAGTAAGTGCAGAGATACAAATAATAACAACTTGCAGGTTTACAAATAATAACAACTTGCTTAATTATATGATGAAACATCAATAAAAACATGTATTTTCATCAGGCAAATTTTAGAAATATTACTCTGTATTTTGCTTTTGCTTTTTATCTGTACTCCATTGCTTCCCTTACAGACCAGCTTGAGCAGGCTCAGTTTGAAGTGGTTCAGTATGTGTCCAAGGTGGCTTCACTGGAAGGTATGTTGTTTCAACCAACACAACCGAGATTGTGTTGCTGTCACAGCTATCACAATCACACAGTATCACAACTATCACAACTTGGCTAACATATTTGTTAATCTCAAAGTAATCCCAACTAGCAAAATAACTATTGATGTTGTAACTTGTCGTCTCATCTAATGAATTCTGATTTAGTATATTTAGAAACTGTAGCAGTAAACAATGAAAAATCTTTATATAATCCTGCTCAGTCATTCTGCATAAATTTGGGAAAGGTGAATTTTACTTTGATGAAGAGAAATATTTATAATGCATAGGAACTAAATATTAAGTGATTGAACTATGTGTTGCAAGGCAAATCCAAATTGAAAAAATTGACACTTCCCTTTTTGCATGTTTAAGAACCATAACTTCTGTAAACTGATTGTGCTTATATGGATATTTCATTTGCTGAATGTTTTACAGGCAGAACAATATAGCTTGTTAGCAAGATGATGTTTTTAGTTTTCTTACTTTATGTAATATTGCCTTTGATCATTATTCCAACATTGTTCTGCTGCATGGTAGCTTTGGCTGTATGATTTCACAAAATATATTTCCAAGTTTGGAAAAAAAACAACTAATACTGACTAAATTGAACAGTTGTTTAATGCTGCTGAAATACTAAATTGAACATTTTTAGATATTTTCTCTTATTCCATCTCTTTCTACTACAGACAAACTCAGGCAGTCAGATATTCAAATGAACCAAATTATGGAAAATACTGTGGATGATTTAAAGTGTAAGTGCTTTCTTTTCTGCTTCTTTCTTTCTTCCTTTGTTCTTATTTTCCCTGTGCTGATACATTAAGGCTCACACTTAGTGCATAGTTTTATTTTGTGAAAAGTCCAGTTATTAAAATTTGACAAAATCAGAGACATTTTAGCTGGGTCTTGTGAATTTTTTAAAATTTCCTACACCTGTGTGCCTTCCCATTATAATTTAAATTTTTTTCTTAAAAAAAACCTGTCAGTGCTTTCCCTGGTTGCATGTTTTTAATTTTTCCCCCTGATTATTAAGTGTTGTGTATTGCAGGACTAGCTATGATCTTATTGACTTGGTTGTATTCATTTGGCTCCCTTATTGAGCTGCAGAATATTTCAGGGAGAAATGTGATAAGAAACTGGTCTTTCTTGTCTTGAGCGTGGCAATTTGTGAAATTGCCTTTTCTACTTGTTTATTTATGTGTACATTTAGTTATTGTTTCTAAATGTATATCCCATAATTAATAAACTCCCTCGTGTTTGGTTGCTGGTTTTGATGCATTTGGTTTTAATCAAGGCTGGTGTATACCTTTCAAATGTGAAGTTTGGTTAATTTTCAGTTCAACTAGAAGAATCACGGAAACAAGAGGAGCAAAGCAAAGAGCTCTCTAGTCAACTTCAAGGTGGGTGTCATTTTTTGTGTTCTAAAGAAAATAAATATAAGGGCAAATTTCACTTTCGTGACTTAAGTGTAAAGTTTTAAGCAGTTTTTAGCCTGGTGTGAGAAATTGCTGCATTTACATGCATACTTATGCCTGTGCACGCAGAGAGACAGCAAAAGAGAGAGATAAAGAGAGAAATTTGGTACTGACTTAAAATGACGCCAACACGTACAGTTTTCCACTCATAATGAATAATACCCAGAGAGTGACTGGAGCCACGATTGTATTATTTTTTAGAACACATAGAAGAACTTGAAGCAGAACTAGAGGAATTAAAGAGTTACAGACATGAACATCAAGGTAGGCATCATATGAACATTTTAAAATGAAGTGGAACATAGAAGTAGGAATAAGAATTCATGAACTTTAGTTTGAAATGTGAAGTAAATATTTATACTGAATAATAATGACACAAAAAGTATGTCTTCTAAAAGATGTTGAAGACAAAAAGACAAAACAATAACAAAGTAGGTAAAAAATGAGAAAAAGATTTACACTAAGAAAACATGGGGATTGCACATTTCACTAAATTGGGCGTGTAAAGACAAAAAGATAGCATTATACAATTTGTACAAAATTATATGATAGGCATATAGCTATATTTTTATTTCACATTCAAATCTCAAATTCTTTTGATTTCAGACCAGGTAATGAAATTACAAGCAGAACTAGCTGAGTTGCGATTGCTGAAACACGAGCATGACCTCCTGATGGAGTCACGACAGGACGCATCTGATGTTGATGCCCAGAATGACTCCGACTCTGACAGCGGTAGTATAGGGGCCATTTTGGAGGCTGGGGGAACGCTAACCCCCAACCACAAGGTGAACCATGTGCACCAAGAGAGGGCCAAGACACCCGAGGAATATGAGAGAGAGATCGAAAAACTACAAGGTAAGAATGTCAACATGTTTTCAGTTGTGCAGTTCCATTATTCTGTTTGTGAACTTGCTTGCTGCACTTTGCCTTGATCTGCCAATAGGTATTTATCTCATTTATACCACTGCAGTGCATGATGGGAAATGAGTTGGCATGGCAACCATGTTGGCATGGTTACTTCTCTGAATTACTGAGAATTGGCTAGATTGCAGCAGCTGTGGATCTTTGTGCATGACTTGCACAGTTTTAGTTTTAGGGCTAGCTGTGTAATTTCTGCCATGCATAGTTCTCAGTATGAGGGCTGTGGTGATGCACTTTATTTAAAGTATCTCTAAAAAGACCCCCTCCCCAAAATGATAAGGCAAATATGAAAAAAAAATTTCAACTACAGTTAAGTAATCACATGAAATGGAAGTTCTTATTTTGAATAAATCTTCAGACTAAGCATGCTTTAATTTCTTCTCATTAGTTTAATCATGGAAAGAATTAACAGTAGTGAATCAGAATTTCATAAGAAAATAATTGACTTACCGTAATATGTAATTTTTCTCTTACTGGTAACATTCAATTCTTTAATACTAGATTTTAGAAGAGAAACAACAGTGATAGATATTGATGGATTTTATGGATTAATCAAAAAAAAAATCTCATCACATACAAAAGATTTTAAAAGATGTAGAAAATAATCTTTATACATTTGTCCCGAGCCTTTGTTTTGAGATACGAAGATAAAAAGTTCTTACTGCCACTGTCAGTGGTATGACCTCTGTAACAGTCATACTGTATGAGATATTTTGATACAGTGTTGGTGAGAGATTTGCTTTTGGCTTGTCTTCAAATTTGATGCCACCTATCCTGCTGCACTGTCATGTTTCTGAATTCTCTCTGTTGAAAAATGCTAACTAATGATGCATGGTTTGTGTTTTATCTTGTCCCTGCAGAGGACCACAGTGACACACAGGTGTCCCTGGACAGTGTTAGCTGTAAAGTCGTCCTACTTAAAGGTATCCTATTTGTAGTAAAATCTGTGTGGTTGCTTAGTTACGGTTGCCTAGTTACAGTTGCTTAGTTACATGTTGTAGGGGATGGGGCTATCAGAGCTTTGATTGCAAGGATAAAGGGATCTGCCTCAAACTGTTTGTGGCACAGTTTTCTTTTAGTCTTTTTTATATCAAAGACGCATTTTGTTTTATTTTAAAAGAAAAATTATATATTGTTTTACTCTGTACTGAAATATATTGCAACGATTTTATATCCTCAATCCATGCTATGCCACAGAGGCTAACCCTCCTTTTACCTTCAATCAAATGAGAACAGATTTTTATCATGGGTCATGTAGCTTATTTGCTGTAGAAGGTTTATCTATATGCTATACTGGTGGTCTTTCTGAGGTCTTTCTAGAGCATTGTGTGTGTAACATCAGGCATGAAGTTTTTCAAACTTTGGGTGAAATTTGGCTCGTTATCTCTGCAGGGGCTATTGCTGTGGCAGAAGGTGTTTCAGAATACTTTCACAAACATTTTCAGATTTTTTCTCAGAAGTTGAACTCATGCCTGATGTTTTGTTAGAGATGAAGCTCAAACAAGCCACATATACTCTTTGGCATAGGACCATCCCGCTTTGGAAAAATCCTTCAGTAGAAGGATACAGTTATCCCTGTTCTTTTAGATGAGTTACAGTGTTTTTCTCACTATTACCTGTACATAGTGTTTGTTACTGATTAGGTGGAACTGACTTTGCTTCTGGCAAGATATCTTTTTCAGCAATTGTTGAATTAAAATTCTCAGAAAATGTTTCATCAGAGGTTATATGTTGTTTTTTTCTGTAAAATATAAATCGGAGTTTCCTGACTAATTTACCTTCTTAATTTAGGAGATTGATATGATTGTTTGTTTGTGTTTGTCTAATGCCTCAAACTAAAATCCATGCAGCTGTTTCTTATGCCCTTTACTGACTCTTGAAAACATTGATGTATTCACAATTCTCTCACTAATCTCTAGCTAAGATACTAACTAGTTGAACAATATAATTGCAGTGCTTGCTGTTATCTTCTTGTATTGCTTTATCTGAGGAGAGTAAGTTGAAACAGTGGACTGTTCCTAAGAATATGTATGTGAAAGGAAAAGACTAAAGAAATGAAAAGGAAAAAAAGCAAACATGCCTAGCCAGCACTACACAAACTCCCAGGCAGCCGACAGACACATTTTGGCATTTAGATATTTGTACTCCAAAGGGATTGCTGTACAGAAAGGTCAAGTTAGCTGTTTTATTGAAGCCTACATGCTAGACTTTTTCACAAAAAGCCAGTTTCTTGTCCTGATTTCTGAGGACATTTAAGAAATTTTTAAGTTTAGAGTGGATTTTTGATACTGACAAAAATATTAAACAGGATATATTGGATAAGAATCGCAAGAGATATTGTGTTATAACAAGGACAATCTCAACCAACAAAATATCACAACTAACACATTTTCACAACCAATGCAATATCACAACTAACATAGTTTTAACCATTGTCACTAGATATATCTAATTCGCATCTAATGAAGTATTTAACATGACATAATAAGATTGTCAGCACTCAGATAGTGGGTTAAATTTGCAATTATTAAAACTCAATAGAGTCCAGCTTCAAATTTAAATATCCTGTACTGCTGGTAGTACCTTAAAAATTAACATCCTTTTTTGTTGTAAGACAATGTATGGATTTGGAAAAATTTGAACTGCATTTCATGTTGTTCATTTTTCTTCGTCATTTTCTGAGTTATTAGACTCTGAAAACAGAATATAGAATATATTTTCAACACCTTTAATTTTTAATATACTTTTACATTTACATATTGCCTTTGCTTTTAAAAGATAGATAACTAAATGATACTATGAAAAATGTTTTGTGCATCAAATGCCATGACTGGAGTCTATATGCCCAAGTTAATATGTAACACTAGTCTCAACACTCTGATGCAAATTGATATATATTGCACTGCTGTCTGCTCTAACGCAATTGCCACAGCATCACCTCTTACACAATTGTTCACAGTGATTTTTTTTTACCTTGTAGAACTGCTGAGTGAAGCTAGAGATGCTCAGAAGAAAAGCAACCAGGAAGTAGACAGATTAAAACGTAAGTTTATATTAGGTCCATAATAGTAACAACATGATAGGTGTAATGATTAGTCTTCAGTAGGTACCTAGCTGTAGAAAAGATACATGTGTATATGTATTAATTAATTGTACTGTGATGGTGATTATGTGTCTTTTTAGTGAAGAAAGAAAGAAAATGGTGGGGGGGGGGGAGTAGTAGAAGAGGCTAAGGATTAGAGCTGTAAAAATGGAGCTAAATTGCACATATTCATCTGTGATTGTGATTGTTTTAGGTGAGCTGGAAGCTGCACAATCAGAGGGCAAGAAGTCCAAGGAGGAGGCTGCTGGTCTGAGGTCACAGCTGCAGGAGATGAAACAGACAGCCAAGACCAGTGAAGACAGAGTGGCAGACCTCCAGGGTAAGCTACCAGGCTGGGATTTTAACTGTCACCTGTTTCAAAACCAAACCAAAATATTGCTGTAATGGGCCCCAAAAGTAATGGATTGGATTTGCATTTGGATGAATGCGGCATTGAATATATTTTCAATTGGCTTTCTTTCAGATAAATTCAATGAAGCAGAGGCAGCATTAAAGGAAGTGAATATCCAAATCCTGGCACTAAGAGGTATGTGCTGTCTTGACTTGATAAGTTTTCAGGACTTGGAGCTTAGGTTTTAGTGGTGCTAGTTTGCAAACAGTTTTCACTGGCACATTTTATTTCAGTTAGTTTAGATAGATTTTGATTATCTGTGGCTGAATTGATCAAAGGGGTGGAAGTTGGGATCATAACATGTCAATAGATCAAAAACTGATTTGAAATTGCCATGGTAATGTGACTGTGCTAAGTTGATGCCTTTTAGCCAAGGTGATGCCATGTCCTTATCCTAACATGTTGTGAGAGTGATGATCCCGTGGTGATATAATGTTGCCTTGGTATTGTGCTGTTGCTGCCACAATAGTTGCATCACTTTTAGCTGGTGTTAAGGAGGCACTGCTTACCCTCGGTTTAGCAAATCATTCTACAATTATACATTGCACAAGCCAGTCATTTGCATGAATTGCTTGCCTGGTATAGTACAGTATAGTATGCTGAGCATGATATTCTGATCTCTAATTGAAAAAAAAAATCTTCATCAATAACAATTCATTTTAAAGCATGCCAAAGCTTTCTGTGCACTTTCTAATATGCTATAGCTGACACTTATATACTTAGAGCATTAAATGTCCTTTTTTTCTATGTTTTGTGTGAATTATGAATATGTTTTACTTCATATGGAAAGAGCATGAGTTTTGTATAATATGCCAACTTTATTTAGTTTTAGTAGGTCTATAATCAAGTTCATTTTGTTAATTTCAAAAACACCTGAATATCTTTTAATTTTGAACCGTCTGTTTTGTGTATTAATCTGGAGAATTTTCATCCATCCATCTGTAAATACACACCAAGCATGCTTAGAATCAATCTTCAACTGAAAGTTTACAATTTTAACCTAATTTTATTGTGCTTTTTAGAGATATATTTCACATTTTTGGGATGCTTTATTCACTCACTTACAGATATTTATTCCAGTAGTAAATTATCAATAAGCTTATTCATGGTCCGTAGGAATTCTAATCACTGACATTTTAGTCATAGTGATCACTTACTTTGGCACTAAATATTGGTGTAACAGCTACATTTTGGTCTTGTCGCAAGAGCATCATCAGGCTAAAAGCCCAAAGGTCATTTGGTGTTGTTAGACCTGTGAATGATTCTCAATGGGGGTAGTAAGTGAGAATCGTTCACAGGTCCACCAACGCCCAACGACCTGTGGTCATTCAGCCTGATGATACCCTTGTGACAAGAGCAAGACATAGCTGAATCACTACAGTTTTTGTTCCAAAGTTAGTGTTTACTATCACTAAAACATCAGCAACCAGTATAAAATTAATAAACTTTAGTTTTATCTGTATATGGTAAAACAATACAACAAGCTTTATTGACCTTCTAAACCAAGTTCAATAAAATAACTTTTGAAAAAAAAAAAAAAAACAATTAAATTTTGCAATAATTTTACAAGAACCAAACTGCAAAATTAAGCAGACCAGAAAAAATCCCTGCTTTGTGTGTATTTATATGAAGCATGCTGCCAAGTCTATTCTTTCTTTATTCCCCTCTGTCTCTCCCTTAGACCAGCTCATAGAGGAGCAGGGCCACACCAGGAGTATACACGAGGAGGCTGAGGGCTTGAAAAGTGAGTTCTGTGCCTGATCAGAACTGAGCATTGTTAATCCCACTAATATTAGGACTTGGTGTTGAGGTTTAACAAAAATCATTCAAAATCTAGGGTCAAAACTGGCATATTAATTTCATATTAGCCAAGTAGCTAAAAAATCATTAATCTAGTTTTGTATCAAGAAATGTACATAAAATTGATGCTGTATTTTATCAAAGCTAAGTTTTTGATAATTAAAGCACTTTGTGGCTAAGATGTTATATGCCAGGTTGAATCTAGAGACGTGCATAGTGTACAGACCTGGATATAATGCTGAGAGCCCAAGTTTTCATTGTTGGTGTTGAGTATCAGCTGAAAGCTTACTTACAGAGATGAAAATCTTCTAGATGTATCTTGCAGTCTGTTTTTAGGAGGTTGTGTTTGTGCCAGCATTCCTATGAATGTTGATTGCATTACATCATGCATTGCTTTAAGCAAATTGTAGTAGTGCTGTGTGATTGGGTTGTGGTCAAATGAATGTAGAAATAGGTAAAACTTGGTAGAAAGCAACTCCTGTGTAATTGTTGAGCATTTTCTGTTGCTGTGGATATATATTTATACTTAACATTTCAATGTTGTAACAAGATTAACCTAAAGGACCCCTAATAACCTCTGCTCTATAACCTAGGCACTGAAGGAAAGATTTTGAAAAAAGAAAAGAAAATGAGACTAGTCTGTTGCCTTTTTTGTCTCATTTTAAGTTTTTTCTAAAAGCTTAGTCTTTTGTCGTTGCTTTTCTTGAAATTTCAGTTTGCTTTTACTTGCAACTTTCTATTTTTTTTGTTCATCAATAACATTTGATATTGTAAGAATTTTAGATACAAAAAAAAAGTGAAGGAAAAAAATATAGCATTTTGTACATCTTGATATTATGGTCACTAACTGTGATAACTGAATAGTTAACACATCCAAAGAGATTATTATGAATGAGAGTTGGTACAAAATCTGTTTGGGTCTTTTGATATATATATATATATATATATATATATATATATATATATATATATATATATATATATATATATATATATACAGAAAGTGTATTTGTACAAACCTTAATCACAAATACCTTCCATCACAAATAGATGAGTTTGTGGGAGGGTTACACTTTTCTGTCACAAAAAAATTAGTGTAATATCAAAGATCCACATTTGGTCAAAAACTGCACTGATATTGTGATCTTTTGCTATTTTCAGAGCAATTGCTTGCAGCACAGCAGGCAGCCAAACAGAGTCACAATGAAGCAGAACAGCTTAAGGGTAGGTGCCCCCCTCTCTCTCCTTCATACTCTCTCTATTCTGCACGCACACACACACACACACACACACACACACACACACACACATTTCTTCTAAATTAATAACAGCCATATTCCACATGTTTATAAACCATATTGAACATTTCAGGCAAAGTTTCTGAACTTGAGGGAGAACTAGAATGTTCCAGATCCCTGCTGGATGATATTAAGGGGAAAGATAAGGAGACAGTCAATGAAAAATTGGCTTCCAAAAATAGAGGTTTGTACACATGTTATGACCCATATGCATTACCCAGATGTTAAAATGATAATATCAAACATAGTAAATAAGTAGCCATAATTAAATTCCACAAAATATATTGAAAATGGTTTAATTGCAGTATAATGAAGACTGTATAATGAAATGATGTTTTACAGTTTTTGTATTCTTTTGAAACATACGTCAGTAGACCCAGGATTTAATTAAAGGGGAATGTGTGTGTGTGTGTGTGTGTGTGTGTGTGTGTGTAAACTGCAAAGGATTAACATCTAGGTGTCATTTCAGCAGAATTTGCCAGCCTTAAGGAAGAATGTGCCAACCTTAGGAGAAGAATCCAAGTTATAGAAGGGGATATGAAAGTGTAAGGAAACAATCTGAAACAATTTTCATTTTCTCACAATATATTTTCTATTCAGTAAGTCTGCAAATAATTGTGTTACCATTATATTTTGTTCATTGCAAAAAAAAAAAAAAAAAAAAAAAAAGTTCATATAACGTATGACAACTATAACTTATCTATATTTCAGTACGAGGAAGGAGAATGCCCAGATCTCTCAAGACTACTCCAAACTCCAGGAACAGTACAAGGAGTTAGAAGCCATGAAGGATAAGCTGGAGAATAAGGAGATTACGTGGAAACTAAATCTTACTGATGCGCAAAAGGAAGCTGAACAGACTAAGTTGGAGGTGAGAATGTAGAATAGATTAGTAGATTTTGGGGTGAGAGTTTGAGGGGGAGGATACAGAGAAAGGACACACTGAATGGTGTTTTCATTCTTTGTTCACTTTGTTAAATCTGGTTAACTGAAGCCAACAGTGCTTCTCAATGAATAGAGTCCTGTTCAAAGTGCAATATGAAGATTAGAAAAATCTGTGTGAAGTATATGAAGACCTTCCGGTATCCATTTTGCTGCATTCAACCAAAGCTATTTTCAAGAGATTGATCAGTATGTTCAGACTGGTAAGGTGAGAGAGAAAGATGATCTGAATATATATTTAACAGCATTTATTTTTATTAATTCCAGTTAACTGAAGCCAACAAGGAGATTGCACAGCTCAAAGAGAGGTGTGCCCAGTTCAGTGAGGAGATATCCCAGCTGAAGGAGGAGCTAGTGGACATGACGGAGGAGTATCAGCTGCTGGCCGACAGAAGCAAAATGGTAAGGATCAGTATATTTGTTATGATTGGGTTAAAGGGGTAGCTCAGGGGTATAATGGCAGTATATCAAATATATGTTTGGAAACATTTATTGCAACGTTATAAGGAGTGGGCAATGTGTCAGTTATCTATGTGGAAAAATATCAGCTACTGGCAATCATATCGTATAAGTTAGTCTAAATTTATGTTCCTGGATGTATCAAGTTTTATGAAGTTGAAAAAAAGTTACTATTTATTCACCTTCATAATTTGTTTCTTGTGCTCTTTTCCAGTTATCTGTCTGCTCCATGGTTCCCCTTCTAATGCTCCTGTTTGCCATCTTGGTATCACTGTATCCAACCCTAGCAGAAATCACAGCCACCACCTCCTGATGATGCCAACTCTAGGATAGATGGCACTGTACTCAACACAAGCTTGAAAATTTCTCTGGCTCCTTTTCTCCATCATTACGGCACTGCAACCAGTGTTTGTGGGGTGACAGTCATCAATAAGCAGTATTTTTTCACAAGACTTTCAGTATGGGTGATGTTGAATTCAGAACAAGGTATTTTGTTTCACAGAATGCTGAATCTCCATCACTCACTCAAGGATTTTATGAACATTTACTGTGAAAAGGTGACATTGCATCCAAGACATGCTTAAAAGTCACTGCCTTTTTACCTCACTCCAATAACCAAGTTATACAATGATCAGCACTGACTAGTATTACATAGTTTCTTCTCAATTATAGCTTTTGCTGTGCATAAGAAATGACAACGAGGAAGAAGTAGCTGAGATTGTAGTGTTTATATTAAAGAAAAATATATGTATTATCGGAACATACAAAAGAAGGACATAATGTCTTATGCAGTAGTCTGCAGAGCACAGGTATTGAGCTTGCCTTGCAGTTTCAATATGTTGATGATAGTGCCACCTACAGGACCATTTCATGGCACAGTGTGGGAACAGCCATCAGGCATGAATGTTTCATGAACACTTCATGAACAGATCATGAACAGGAATGGGAAATGGTGTTAGTAGATACATGCTTATTCAGAACAGTTAAAAGTGAATCAGATTATGTTGAAGTTGTTAAACTGAGCACATCAAAATATCCAAAGGCTGATTTACCTTAGAAACTGCTTATTACAGCTATAAGAAGTGTTTGGTTTGAGTGTTGAAAATGCCGAAGTCTGAGACTTGAACGCTTTGTGTAGACCTGCTTAATGATAATAGATGTGCTGTGAGAAAAGTCATAATCCTACAATTCTTCCTGCCATAGTTTGAATAGATATTATTATCTTCATTCATCATGTTTTTAGTCTCATATTATTATTATTATTATTCAATTACTTTCTTCCTGAGATGTTCATTTAATTTTATTTGAACATGACTGTTGTTTCTTTTCCCTTATGAAGTACAAGTGTAACAGATAGATATATTTTCCTGAGACATTTTTTATTCTTCACGTGGTTATTATTCAACTTGATTTCATAAAGTAAAAATGGAAATAGACCAATTATTTATGCAGAATGGATTATAAGAATATTTTCTGCTGAGAAAGTTACACAAGATTTGACCATGAGGTTCAAAGATTAAAGATTATGTACCATTTCAAGATTTTTGCACTGTAATTCACTGGGACTTCCTTACTTGAAGCAAGCCCTTCTTGGTCATTAGTGAAATACATAATTGCATTAGTAACATTGCTGAGCATAAATACTATATACACTTCCCAGTTCTTCAATTATTATTTCAACTTTTATAATTATTTAATTGTTTGAATGGGGGGAGGTCTACATTTATATACATATATATATATATATATACATATATGACATGTTAGAACTTATTATGTTAGGTTTAATATGCAATTTCAATATGATTTACTTAATTTCCTCCATGTGATAGTTTCAGGACGCAAGCGGTCCTCCAAGATTTGGTTGTAAATTTTGTTTGTAATGACTTAGACTGTACAGAATACAGTGTGTACATAAAGTATGTTGTGCAGTCAGCAAATGAAAGTAAATGATATGATATGATAGTTGACAATTAACAGGACGACTTCTACATAAACTGTGTAAATACATTGATATTGACATTGAATAAAGGCACAGATTTGAAACTGAAATTGCAGTTATTGAATTTATTCTTCCTTTCACATGTACTGTACATTATAAACCTGAGGAGAGGCTGAATGTGAATGAGTAATTTTCATTGAGAATGGCAGGAAAACTGACCCCATTGAAACCTTGATGTTTCAAACCTGGATTTCAGCAACTTTAACAAATGATGTCTTCTTTTTAAAATTCAAAAATAAAAGGTGTGGTAACAGTGAAATTATGTAACAAAATCAAAATTGAATAAGATTAAGGTCTGTGCCCAACATGTGTGAAGTAGAAATGGCCTCGGGCTGCAAAACATTGGAAGATTAAAAAGATTAAGATTTATGGCCTATAGACCTGCTTGTCTGTGTTGGAGTTAAAAAGTAAACAGATTCAGATTCAGATTCAGATTCTTTATTGATGAACACCTTCACATAAAGGTACAATCAATTACAATACTAGTAACTATAACATAGAACAGACAAATATATATATATATATATATATATATATATATATATATATATATATAAATATATATATAGATTAGCATATGGTTGACATGTTCTACGTCTCCATCGGTATAAGAGGTAATTTATGTTTCTGATGTCTATAGCCTCATAATTGTTTCAACAGTTTAGACAAATTAACACTTTTCTTCAACTTTTCTCTTTTCTTGAAGCTGATGCAAAATAACTTTTACAAATGTGATTGCGTTAGTTGAGCTCAACTAGTACAACCAGTACAGAAAGCACAACCACTCCTGCTCCATTAGACAGCTCACAGCCTATTCAATAATGAGTGTTTACTTTGGCAACGCTACTAATTCAGACCTCTATTCGAATGTTGCCCTAATCCAATCAATTCCCCGCCTTTATTGTGTATAGCGCAAACAAATATTTCATTGGCATTGCCGGAAGGATTGACAAAGGCATTTATGGCAAGTTTTCTGAATCAATCAATCAACAAATGTCAAGGTGCCCGTGACGTCACTAAGAAGGCGGAGCCAGCTCAATGTAATTTGAAATCTTGAGGTCGACAGGTGAGTCGCTTTGTGAAATTTGCACTTACTTTTTAACAGAAACCGTCAACACTTTGGGTTCATATTTTGCCAGTGTTGACATAAGGTTACAATTAAAGCTGTCTGTTCGTCTTACGGTTCAAACCGACTAAGAAATGTTAAAATCAGAGTGAAATGTACAAGTTCGAAGAAATGAACACTCACAGTCACGCTTGGATGTCGCATACTCTTGCAGTTACCGTAGAGTTAATCGAAATCTGTCAGCAGGTAAGCTCGATTTTCTTAGCTGTCGGATTAACAGAATTACGTTAGAGGCATGGGGAGTTATTAAGCGTCTCCTCAGACTTAAATATTCTGGTCCACGTACGGTTAAACTAAGTGGAATGATGGAACACGACAAGAGTAGCTTTCCGAATTTTGAAAGACCGTCGGTGGCAAACCATTTAAGTTTTATGGCTACCCATTTCTACTTCATCCTCGTACTTTGAAGTTTTACGACTACACAATTAATTCCCTGTCAGAGCTTGACTGCCTTACACGAAATATTGCATGTTAAAACATTAGCTTATAAATTTTATGGTGACCTATTGCCGTTTCATATTATTGTCAGTATTGTGCAGAATACTTTATTGGTGTAACAGCAGGAAAGATGTGAGGAGTTTTGTAATGTGCTGTCACTGTGTAAATTTTACAACTTGTGATGTCATAAGAAAAGTCTTATTGCTGTCAACATGAATTTCACACTCACTCGTAAGTTATATGATAGGTGTTGTGTGTCCTGTTGCTGATCTTTTTTGCTTATTTACACATCTCGGTTGATGTTAATAATTTACCACTAGTAAACAATGAAGCTCAACACATGAAAAGGTACTAATGCTAGTTGTAAGTCATTCCCACATTTGTCAGTCTAAGCTATTGTATTATGTTTAATGGGAACACCACCTTTTTTCTTTTCAGTAAAATCACATGGATTTCAATAATGGCACACTTGGAAGAACAAAGGAACATGGATAATAGCACCAAACCACGGATTAGTATTAAAGATAATACAATGGATTCACAAGTTATGGATAGTAATATAAAGCTTCAACATCAGCAGCATATGATGGATGCAAGCAAGCCTAGATTGGCCTGCCAGAATTGTGAAGATCAGTGCCCAGGATTTGAGGCCCACTATTGGAGGTGAGGAAAAAATATTATATTATATATTGTATTATATAGCGGTATGGTACCCTCTACCAGGGCGACTGATAGATTTTTACAGATATTCACAGATATATGACTTCAGCCCAAAATGACCATCTATCTTGCTAGAGCCATATCTGTGAATATCTGTAAAAATCTATCAGTCGCCCTGGTAGAGGGTAGCGGTATGGTATGGGTATGATCGACACATCAGTGAGTGTTATTTGTTATGAGTTGAAGTATTGGAAATAAACAGGAAAGAAAGAATAGAAATGACCTCGACTGTGTTAATTGACTATTGTTGATAAGTCAAAACATTGCTTAGGATTCATTTTCTGATCACCACATTACTCAAGATCATGAAAGAAGTTCGTGTCCCTAAGGCCAGTTTCAGAAAGTCAAAAATAAGAAATTAGCCACCAGCTATATCTGTCACTACCATATTGTGATAGTGTTAATTTAGAAACTTAATGAAAGGGATCGATGTATTCTATAGAACACCCCAGGGAAGACCAGCAATATTATCACAGAGTATGTGGAACTGGTTTAATATAAGATCAAGGAACAGCTGTTCCACTGGGACTACAATAGAGATAGTACAGCTGTATTGAAATTGAACATGGTGTCTTCATGAAGACTTGAAAGTATGAGTCATTATAAATAAGTCAAATGACGTGGATTTGTTCAGAATCTCAGCCACTTTAAAATGGAAAAGATGAAAAAGAAGTTCTTTGTTGTATTCAGCTGTTACAAAGATAGACTTCACTAAAACCCTTTCACTTCTAAGAATTTAGATTTTTTTTTCGATTTTTTTTAGTCTAAAAAAAAAAGGGTAATAGAACTGCTTTATCTGTGCTTAAAGTTGAATTTAGATAAGAAATTGAGGTAAGAACATGTAATGCAGAGCCCTGGATATTAATTGGGTCACAAAAAAGTCGTCCAGGATATCTTATCTCAAACATCATAAATTACAATCAAGTCTCTCTACATTGTTCTGCATTAAGGCTGGCTTAAAGTCTGCATTATGATGAAAATTAGACCATTTATATTCAGATCCTTCAACATGCCTTACAATTTTGCCCCGTTAGTATGCTAACTAGTGTACCTAAGGAGGATTCCATTGCTATTACTTAATCAGCCTGCCTTGTTTGTTGTCGTAATCCAATTTGGTGGGTATTAAATGAACAGAGAGATATGATAGGACCCATCATTTATTTCATTAAACCTTGATTAAGACCAGGGTTTGGTTTAATTAAGTGATAGCTAGAAAGCTGGTAGATCTAATATAAACACCAATCAAAAGATAATATCACTCAATCTGCTGTGGTTTTAGTTTTGAGTCTTGATTTAGGGTAGATTTCAGGAGATTTTAACTGTGAAGTAGATTATGCTTACTAGTGTAGAGTTTATCTCGTTGTTAAAAAGGTATGTGAAAATTCTCGGGATGAGCAAAAAAGAAATGTTGTTCTTATGAAATTAATAACTAGTCTTGAAAAACACCTTTGCTGATGCTCATCATATTCATCTGTGTGTAACAAAGGGCAATTTTCACACCATGTATGACCCGGTCAATATGCTCCATTGTCTGATAAGAAATTATTTGGACTGTATTTTAACAGTTGATTTGCGGTTGTGGTATTTGTTGACAATATTCTCCACAAGTTTGGGAGCGACAATAAGCGGATGTGTCTTGAACTCTTCAACGCCAGCATGTGTATATGTGACTGAGTTAAGTGTCTTTTACACGGCAGGTCCTTAACTTGATGCATCACTGTCAGGGTGCTAAAACTTGGTGATATTTTTCTGTCACTGAAAAAAACTAGTTTTCAGTTTGATTTTTTAAATCTACCAGACCCACCACAGGCCATAGGTAATTATACATATTTGAGACAAACAACTGCACATATTTTAAGTTATCCATTTTGATATTATATTTTAGTTTTATAATTTGCATGATTGGCCATATGGCATTTCATGCTAAAGCTAAGCTGTATAATGATCACATTATCTTTTAAATAGAAATGGGCTAAACTGTGATTTGGGGTCACATCCATTAACAGCTGGGAGATTAATAAAAGAAATTGTACGTCTGTTGCAATTAATATTATATTTTATCCTGTAAGATAGAAGAATCACAGAGGAATGTACAAAATGGCAAATGTCATGGTTTAAGAGATCCTGGTTACTAGTTGTCCCACAGCATGGTCAGACTTGAATAAAACCTCCCTCAGTGTCCACAGATAAATATGTCAACAGATCGAAGGATTATTTCTATTATGAACGAGACTCTACCAGGACATAGAGGATTAGGTAGAAAGACAAATCTCCGCCTTACATAGATAACTTTTTGATCTTCGCTTCAAGCAGATGCAGCTCTAAGATGTCACTATGTGAAGGGGCTGTGTCACAGTTTTCATATGAACCCAAGTCAAGTCCAGATGTTAAAGGGATAATAACTCTTTGTATGAGATCTATATTTCACAATAAAAACATTGTGAATAACTCATAGAAATGTAATATATTCTGTTTTACCACAAAAACGGCAGTTATAGCTATTATTCTGATATCTGAGCTTGTCTTTAGACCACGTGACCTCCATTGATGGCTATACTCTGTTAAAATCTCTTAAGAGATTTTAACAAAAAACCAAACTTTTTAGAAAAAAACCAGGGACTAACTTTGAATGTAAAAATGGATCCATTAACCATTGGTAACTATGGGAAAATTGTTGTTTACTCCAGGAAAATTCATTTTTTGGCCAAAACGAAGAGTTATTATCCCTTTAATCAATGAAAATGTTGAACATTGAAAACAACACAGAGATGTCTTCTCTTGTAAATTAAGAACACAGAATTTGTACTGTTTGTAACATCTCATTCTCTCTCCTTTTTTGAGAGACACCATAACATACACTGTCAAATACTATTAAAATTGGAATCAATTTTTTATCCAAACACTTATAAACTAGAACTTGGGGATCACTTTTTGATGGCTGATAATTGGGGAGGGGATTATTTTCTTCCAAAAATTCAGAACAGTTGAAACCCAACCCTAAACCCAAACCCTACCTGACATCTGTCCTTGCTATATGTAGAGTACATTATCTGTGTCCTAACACTTAAATCGAGGTACAGGAATGTGCCCTTGGAATCTAATAACCCGTCCCCATAGTATAGCTCTTATCTCTTGATACTGGTTATCATTACACACAGAGAGATGGTGCTAGATAGCAATTATCCCAATATCATTTTTGTATCCCTTCATCATCACCTGGCATAGTAGCTCCGAGATCACAGACGTCTAGGTGAAAAGAGACCAATTAAAATTCCCTTTCACTGATCACGGGTGGGTATTATTATGTGTAATTACTACCAAATGGTAATACTAGTGCAGAATCACTGCCCCTCCATTTTACCCCAGATGAAGGCTGGGCTGGTAGAGGATATGAAACTTGTAGTCGTTCCTTGATAAGCCCAGAGAGAGATGCTTGGTCACGGAAGGTAAGATATTATTCAATATAAACCGATATTGATATAATGTTGTGTGCATAATTCTTATGTGGTGTGGGAATTACAGTTGATTATATGAATACTAGACTATAAGCTATCATTCTGTTTTTCTTTTATAACTTTCAAAGTATAACCTTAGAGGCTTTTGGTCTTGGATTTTTAAACTTCCATCAATAAGGTGTTAGTTAACATCAGATCCCCATCATAAGACAATATATTGTACATCAATGTATTTTTCCATCCGCTTTTCACTTAAATGTCAAATGTAAACCATATAAATCATTATTTGAACAAATCACAGCAGATGGGTTTGAGTTATCTAACGTGTGTCTAGATAGATGGGATGTTATGTGAAGTGGTTTTGATATGCACCCTTTGAGAGGTTCAAAGAACCTTAAAGGTGGGAATTAAGGAAACTGTTTGGAATGTCCTCAGGTAGTACGTGTACTACCTTAGGGCAGGTCTTATTGAGTTACTGTTAGGCCTCAAGAAACTGCATGGTGAGCATTGCTTGAAGCATAGGAATGGTGCCTTCTTCCCCTTAGGTCCAACTGATAAGGGCATTGGGTAATATAACATGTTGTCATCAGACTTTATAAACTGTACAAATTGATGGTACTTGTATGTCTCCCAGGTAAAGGGTAACCATTAGATTGGGGGGGTGGGGTTGGGGGTGACTGCAATGTAGGGAATGAAATGATGAGCTCTTTTTCAAAAAGTAACTTTTTTCCCTTTTTTTTTTGGGGGGGGGGGGGTGATAAAATTATCTCAACTTAAGTTTTAAATTAAAAATAGTTTGGAGGTGGTGCACAAAATAGTTTCCATGTGTAAAATAAAACCAATCCACATAATTAGAAATCTGTCAACATCTTTAAGAGGCTGGGTGAAAAACGGAAGTCAAACTGAGATCTGTAATTAGAAGTCTATCAACATCCCTAAGAGAGTGAGTGAAAATGCATGTCTTGTCCATTTTGTCTCAAAGATAAGAAGGAAATAGTACTGTTTTGCCTGAGACTCATTTATAAATGTGCATCACCCATTTACCCCAAAGCAGCTAAAGGAAGGTTTAAATGTCAGAGTTGTTTGACTAATGTGAACAGTGAATATATCAGAACAGCAAGGTGTAAAAGTGAAAAGTATAAAGCCAAAGCCAGGCGAATTTTAATCTGAGCTATTTTGAAATTGGAATGCACTTAGAAGGTAGAAGTGCCAGAGGGAATATGGGTCTCCTGTCACCCACTTTTTGTCTGAACTGAGGTGTTCATACCAACCTAAAGCAGAAATAGGTGTGTGTCCTTTTAAGTTGGGTTTGGCCCTACTCATTGCCACCAACCTCATCAGATTATGATTAGCTCATTACAAGCTGGTCTTATGGTGTTAGGCTCACTACTATGTTACTAACAGTGGGCGGGGTAGAAAGGGGATAAGATTTGCTCTGTGGTGAACTTATCATAACACTGCCTTCTAGAATGGTTCAAACTGAGTCAG